ATGATGAAAATGATCTCGTGTTTTTTCGAGTACAACATAAGAGAAAACAATCTCCGAAAAACCTCATTAATAATCGAAAGATGGAAAATGGAGGAAAAGATTTCGGTGTTGTATACATACATGTACTTATGACTACACAGAGGCCAGTGTATATAGTGATTAGAAAAAAAGAACAGAGTAGTAAAAATGCATCATCTAATGGCATGGCGGATGTTTACGAGCGAATGAAGGAGCAACATAATTTACAAAGTGGCTTTCAATTTTGTGTGATCTAATAAATATATGTGTTGTCTGGAACAACATTTTGTCTCCATTTTTCTGTTCATGTAAATATAATCCGAAACAATATTCATGTAAACATTCAACAGATCTTACGATGAGCTGGGAAGTTTGAACTACTTGGCAGTTAATCGGAGAAGAAAATGTGCAAAGGACGAAGAAAAAAAATGAAATAGGCATTGTCGAAGAACAGATTTTTAATAAAATTTTTTTATATATTTCTGATTAAATAGTAAATAAATAATACGTTATTGATGTGTTTCTTTATCATTCTGAACTCTCTTTATTAGTATTCACATAGACGGGGATCTGCACTTGCGTTTTCTGTTTAACATGTCCAACCGAGATCTTTTTTCATTATTTTGTACTCGGAAGAAAGCGAGATAATTTTCATCATTTTTTCCGAGATCAACTTAACGTCGTTCAAATAGAATTCTCAATGTGGCTTAACTTTTTATAAAATTATGGTTTATTTTGATTTTCTAAAGTTAGAATATGAGAGAAAATCATGCCAACATTAGTATATATATTTCTTTAGTAGAAATGCAAGCTGAATCTCAAAGCTTTGTTTTTAGTGTGCTTCAATAGGATATTATAAATAAAAATCACTACGAAGTTTAACCCTTTACCCTCCAGTGGGTCATATATGACCCATTTGTAGAACGATCACAGAAAATAAAGGAAGCATGAGGCTGAAAAACTCCCAAGACATTATTTGTAGGGAACTTCACAATCTATCGATTGGTAAAAAAAATATTTTGTTTCATTGCTCTGCCTTCGAGATATATGACTTACAAAATCAAAATTTTTTAAAAGAATGCAAAAATTCGAAATTTTTTAAACAACATGTTTTTCAGTTGCAGTCGATAGAGATTTTTTGGAATTTCTGTGTGATATTAGTCGATGAAGAAGTTCACTGTCGAGTTAGATATGTTTCGAAAGCTTCATGATAACTCCGCGAATGATACATACTAAGGAATATAATTGACCATGTAGTCACTGTTAGACAGATGGAGGGTAACCAAGAACAAAGTTAATATATGCATTATAGACCTCAACTCATGAGAAGTCGAAATAGTATTTATGACGAATTAAATTCCTCCAGACGTTACAAAATGGCTCAAAATAAAATAGGCTTAAGTTTGACAATAGGTGTAAAAAAAGCATCCATTGTTTTATGTTAATTTTTATCGGTTCACTCGTTGCGTTTTTCCTATCACTTCAACAGTACGAGATAGATTCTGCTTCTGTCTAGTCAATAATGTGGTCAAAGAAAAAAAAAATTAAGTCTTATAATGTTGTTCAATTCTCATTTTCCACCACATGATTTTTATATGAATCAAACCGCCCTACTCCAGAACCAGGACATTCGGTGGATTAGGCCACACCATTGGCATATTCGACAGGCCAATACTCTATTTATAAAGTTATTCTATCAGTGGCTCTTCTGGAACCGCTATGGGGGGTAAAGGGTTAAAAAGTTTCTGGAAAGTCTATGTCCTTCTATGCTGAGGGAGAGGGAGAGCAGCATTATGTTATTTAAGAAGGATTTAATGAATAGACATAAAGCGCACATTCGCTTTTCATATGAATGATCATAATTACCCTTGAGAAGACAGCAATTCGGCAACATGTTCTTGCAAAATTTTAACGATTTGTACTTTTCATACAGATTATAGATAAATCATAATTAAGATAATTAGATAAGCAATAAAATTCATATAGCTTAGTTTTTGTTAATAAAAATATAGAAATCAATGCTATGATTAATCTGATGTAATGAATAATTATTGACAACATAAAAATAATCTTTGTCTTTTCTTTTGAATTATTATATGATTTCATTTTAGAATTATAAAAATTCTTCAATGTCTCGATCAGAATAAAGTCATTATTAGGCACATCAATTTTCGTTAAGTATAATTATTCAAATGTGTACATGCGTTGATGTTAGCGAAGTAAAACTTTTTTAACGTCATTGACATGGAGAAAAAGAGAGATTAAGCAAGTTTTTAAAATATATACGACGACATTAAGTGCATAAAAACAAAAACAAATACCAATGACAGGGTTGATTTTTTTGCCTTATTGCAAGAAGAAGAGTATAGTCAAATTAAAGTCCTCGTTTTTTTCTTTTTTTTCTGTGCTTGTGGTTGAAGACGTGTCATCCTCTTAACCAAAGCATTTGTTCCGTTGTTAGATTTACTTCTGGTCTTGACTGTTCTTCTGGATCTAGGTCAACAGGTGATACTACTTCATGAACACCATGCCCGTCCAGTTTCGACGTATGACGCGTCATTGGGATCAAATTAAGCACCTAACATAAATAAAATTTATTAAAAAATAACATTAAATCCTTTTACTTGATTCCATAAAAGAACTGCAACACCAAAAAGAAGACACCACGTCCATTGTTCAAATGTTAATGTAACACAAGAAAATACGAATGAGCCATATTGAACAAGAATAATTTGTACAACAAATGTAACAATCCATATAACTTAAAAAAATGGATTTGTAGATATGCCATGAAAAATATTTTTTTCACCATAAATTTTTCTACAATTTATTTCATTAAATAAAGTCATTAACACAAATACATTAAATATCATTGTAAACTGTTCAGATGGTTTAAATATACTATCAACTGGACGATCATTGTCGATATTAAATACCTTAGATCCTTTTATATTCAAAAATAAAAATGAATATAAATCTCTATTCGTGACTTCTTTATTTTTTCTTACCGTCAAATAAAATAAAAAGCATAACAGCTAATTGATAAATAGCATGACTCATAATATTTTTTATCATTGTGCGAGATATTAATGGTCGTGTACATTCGTAAGGTTTACGTCTTAATATTTCATCTGTTGGTATGTCAATAGCAAATACTAATGATGCCAATGTATTCATACTTAGATAAATCCATAAGATTTGTACACTACGTAATGGAGATTCTTTTGTAATACATACTCCAATAAAAGCAAAAAATACAACAACAATATGAACAGTTAATTGAAATTGAAGTGATTTTGCTATTGAATCATAAATATAACGACCCCACATAACAGTTTTGACAATCGAATTAAAATTATCATTAACAAGAATTATATCTGATGCTTCTTTTGCTACATTGGTATCTTGCATACCCTATATTAAATAAATTACAGGTTAACTTGACAATCAGAATTTAGTATGATAAAATTACTGGCAAATATTATTAATCAAGATATAGAATCGAATGTGCAAATGACTGCTGATTTAGATTAATAATTGAACTACTTCGAAAACTTACATGAAACTCCAGTATGTAGTCAGATTCACACTTTATCTATATCAATCTGCCTTTCGTCTAAGTCTATGTTTAAGATATATACTAAGTCTTGATCTGTATTGAGATGGTATCTCAAGAAAGAAGTTTTCCAAATGATTAATCACTTTTTACTCGAGACTATGTACTTCACGTAAGCCTCAATGAATAATGAATATTTCGAATAGAACTTGGTCACTAAATTTATTGTTGCAGAAGTAATGTATGTTTTTATACAATGCCATAGTCCTTTTTCGGTAAGATCATTTTCAAGTTTCAACATGAAATTTGTACAGAGTCACAGACTTTCATGAGAATAGTTTAGCAAGAAAGTTTTAAATCTTTTGATTTGTTTCTATCTTGAAATAAGAACATTGAATCTATTGGTGTATATGAGCAACACCATGCCATAGCGATATCTTGTACAGAAGCTTCGTTAGAATCTCAAAATTGTGAGAGCTATAGAAGAAAAAGTCTCATCCAATTGGTCAAAATTCTAAAGTTTCACAGGGTGATAATGAATAAAAATTAATTACAAAGGAGTAGAGCTCGTCAATCATATTGGGCTTCGCTCAGTCCGAGTCCCAAAATTTTCACATCGCTCCCTGCTTTTCTGACTTTTGACCTTAGGATAGGAACCACTCAAAGAGTTAAAACTTTCACAATAAACTATTCTCGCGAAAGCTTATCTTTGCGTAAAATTTCGAATTAAAATTCGAAAATTTCTTTTTCAAGTATCTCAGCAATAATAACCTAAGAACTTGAACTGTTTTTGGGATATTTATAACTCATTAGGACCTACATAATGCATAGAGTCTCGACTGAAAAGCGACTAATCAATTGTGAAGCAGTCCTTGTCAATCTAAATTCGATTTTGAGCAAACTTCATAATATCAACTTATGTTCTTATTTAAGTTAGTCTCAAAAACTAAATCATTGCACAGCCAACAAGTACTATTCGTCATATCATGTTTTACAATTCGATCCTCTCCTATGTAAATTATTTAAAAAAAATGAAAATAAAGAAAAACAAACACTAACCATAGCAAAACCGCCATCAGCCTCTTGCAAAGCAGAAGCATAATTTGTTTCATCACCGATAACAGCAACCACTTCATCTGCTGGATTGATCTTTGATGCAGCAATACCTCTGACAAGTGTATATTTATCTTTTGGTGATGAACGAGCTAATACACGTAAATGTGGCCAAACTTTATCAAATAAATTTTGTTCAACCTACATTAAGAATAAAAATAAAAATTTCAAAAAACGACAGTAAATTTAAACAAAAATATTTTTACCTCTCCATCTGGTTCTGATCTTATACGTCTGTTAAATTCTTTTCCTTCAAATATTAAAATATTATCATAAGGTGATATAATTTCACATTTAAGTGCAACAGATCGAGCTGTATTAACATTATCTCCTGTAAACATTTGGACTGTTATACCGGCATCTCGACATTTAGCTATAGTATCAGGTACTTCAGGACGTTTAGGATCTTTAATACCACATACACAAATACATGTTAATTGATCAAGAACACTAGTATCATCATTCCAATCGGGTAAATTATCTGATGGAAAATCTCTATATGCAATACATATTGTACGTAAACCATCACATTCCATTGGTTCAATAACATTTTGTACAAGACGATCATAATCAACATTTAAACATGGTACAATATTACCATAACGATTTAATATTGCTTTACATTTTTTAAAACAATTTCTGATGGACCTTTTGTATACATACGTACAGTTGAATCAGATCGTTGAATAATTGTTGACATATTTTTTCGTACTGAATTAAATTTATAAACATGAACAAATTTTTCTTCTGGATGACATGTACGTATTTTATCATAACTTTCACCAAGAGTATTAACAAAACCTAATAAACTACATTCAGTTTTATTTCCAACTTGTTTTGGTAATGTTTCATATTCTCGTGGAGGCTAAAGGAAGAAGATAAACAGAAAAGAAAAATTTTTCTTTATGAAGTATTTTTTTGATCTTTTGAAAAACGAAATATTAATTTACTAATAATTTTGATGAATAACTATTATTAACAGATACACTTTCACATATAATTTCTTTTATATTATCTGGTATGATAATTTCTTTTGCTCTATCTGGAGTTTCAACATTTTTCCAATGTTTTTCACCAACGTAAGCTTGTACAACAGTCATACGATTTGTTGTTAATGTTTCTTTTTTATCACAACATATTGTCTTTGCATAACCCATTTTTTCACATGCATTCAAATGACGAAAAACATAATGATCTTTCATCATTTTCTAATAGAAGAAAAAATATTATTTTAGAAATAATAAAATTTTAAATTATTTAACTTACCCGAAATGCAAAATCTAATGATAGTTTTGCAGTCGATGCTAAACTTTTGGGTACAGCAACGACATAAAACTGTTATGAAAGTAATGAAATATCGTATAAGTCCAATACAGTATTCATAACTCCATCCACGTCTATAAAAAAAAATATTTGAACAATAAAGTAATGAAAATCAAAATTTCTTCTTTTACCCTTGCACAAATACCTCAATTAAAAATCGAATCAGTAGGACAAGTACAATCAAACTAGCAATTGCAATGTCTAGAACAAAAAAATTTTCTTTTTTTACTTAGTATAAGAATCAGCTCATATAAGTCACAATCAACTCTCACAGAAGCTGCTAAATTGAGGTCATCAGATTTTGCTCGATTTATTATATGCTTTGAAAGAAAAGGTGTGAATGTGGGTGTAGATGTTCGCACCCTTCGATTGAGCAATTTCATTCATTGTTTATATGAGTTGGCTTATAAATCAGAAAACAGAGTGAATTGTTACGAAAGACTTTTTAATAATTTCAAGATAATTATAGAAAGAAATAAAAACAAAATAAAACATTCCTAATATTCAAAAATCCTAACCTTACAAACTGATAGCGAAAATTGTTTGGAGATCGGGGAAAGGGCTGATCCCTATAATCACCCCTCTGGTTGCGTCATTGTTACGACAGACTATTATTTATCATACTACCCTTTTGAAAAAATGTCCGACCGAGACGATTTCTTACTTCAAAGCTTCACTGATTTTGAATTTTTAGAGTAGCAATAAAAAGAGTATTTTCAGCTGTATATGAAAATATTTTTTATTTATTATTGTATCATTGAAGATGGAAGTCGTGCATGCTCATAAACATGTTTACCATACTAATTATGCATAAAATCCACTGCATTCTGTGTTCTTTTTACCCAAGTTACTATCTAAAATATTTTTGGAAAATATAAACATGTGGAGAATTCTTCTCTCCATAAAAATATTTATAATTGAAATCGAGAGTACTTCGTTTCCTTCGAGCAATACATAATTGTTTCACAGGATGCCTTATGACCAACTCTAAGTTAATTGTCTTAGTAGACGAAGTACTCTCGATTTCAATTATAAATATTTTTATGGAGAGAAGAATTTTCTACATGTTTATGTTTTTCAAAAATATTTCAGATAGTAACTTGTATATAAACAATACAGAGTGTGATGAATTTAATGCATGATTAGCGTAGTAAACATGTTTATGAGAATGCATGATTTCCATTTTCAATGATAAGAAAAATGAGTAAAATCATAGAAATAAGTTTGTTGATTCATTTTGAATCGGTCGAAAACATTGCACAATAACTTTGTCATCAGTATCTGTGGAATCGGAAGGTAGTTTGATTTTAGATTTTGTATATATATATATATGTATGTATATATACTAGATACTATGGACTATCATAAGAATAAAAGCCAGTGATCATAACTTCTCTAGTTTTCGAAATATGAAGCAAGAAAAATACCTTTACTCTACTTGTTGCAAAATTTTGGTACGTACTGAATATATATAAATATACATATATTCTCTTTAATCAAATTCTGTATGGTAACATGTATGATTTTTATAAGCCTATTAAAGCTATGAATTTCTCGTAAGGTGTATCAGGACATGTCAAGGTTTTGTGGCATTCCCATTGAGAGAGCCGTGGTGTGATTCGTTTTTCGACATCCATATTGAGACTCTAATAGATCCTACCATTAGTACTGATAGAAATGAATAAAAACTGAATCGCAAGGTAAGTCATAGCTTTTGAATTTGTAATTCATTTGTGTCATCCAATATGTATTAGGGAAAAGTTTTGGGAATATTTAAAGGTTAAAATAACAACTACATGTCATACTTTGCTCTTTATTATCATTGGTTTTTTTATAACCATTATTTTCTTCAGTGATTGTGGCTAATAATCTATATACCATTCCACTTTGAGTATGTTCACCAATAGCCAAAACTAACATGTTACCCTAACCTTCCATAACCTGTGTACCTAATCAAATATTGAAAATAATAAATAATTTAATTTTAATTATTTATTTTTCATCAAAAAGGAAAAAAAACGAATTTATTGACCTGAAAGAAGAAATGGCTCTCTTGATACATGTTTTTCACTTAAACCTGATTCTCCAGTCAATGATGATTCATCAACTTTAAGATCATTTGATCGTATAATAACACCATCAGCTGGTAATAAATCTCCATATTTAATTTTACATATATCACCGACAACAATATCGTTTATTGGAATTTGTCGTACTGTATTTCCTCTAACAACATTAAACTTTTGATGAAATTTATTATACCATTGAAAGCAACGAAGTAGTCGTTCTCGTGTCCAATTATTAAGTCCTATTGCTAGAACAACAATCAATACAGCAATAATAATTGCTGCACCTTCAATCCATTCAACCCTTGCTTTCTCTAAAAATGTATGCATGAAAAAAAAAAATCATTGTCCTTGATCTTTTTTTTGTTTTGATTATAAATTTACTTGGTTTTATTTCACCTTCAAATATTTCTCTAGTTGGATGATAAAATGATAAAACAAGTGAAATGATAGCAAATATAATTATTATAACAATTGTACGATCTTTTAAAGCATCAAATATATGACGAAGAAATGTTTTTGGTAGTTCTAATGGAATCTCATTACGACCAAATGCAGCTACACGCATGGCTAAATCAGTTTCATCATCAGATAAACCTAAAAACATAATAATAGATTTTATAATTTGGATTGTTTGTTCTTATTTTATTTTATTTTATTTTTACTACCTATTAAATTTGTTTTGAGCTTTTGTCCAAGACCCTGAAGACCACCATGTGTTTCATTTAGCTCTCTAATACCTTCATAACCTCGTCTTTGCATTAATGTTTTTAACTCTCGAAGCGAAATTCCAAATTCACGCCTAGCTTCTTCAACAGATACATGATAATAACCGGCAGTGGATTTTCTTTTCGTTGTCATTTGGAATCTTTATTGCTATTTCTGGAATAGGTATTGAATTCTTTTGATAGAATTTAATTAACTCAATGAATGTTAGTAAAAGTATTTGGATGAAGTTATTTTGTCGTTAAATATGAAGCAAATACAATTTTGTGACAAATAGGCCTTGAAACAACAGACAAAAAGAAAAAATCCACTGATAACGTTGTCATGTAAGAATATAGAAGAACACATAAATCTCTATACTATCATATTTCTTTCGATTCTTTATATTGGCCATGACAGTCATACGAATCGATTCAAGCAATATATATGAGTATATTTATTTTAAAAATAGTTATTTTAGAAAAAACTTTCAACAAATAATTATAAATGAAATAAATTTCTATGCCTGACTTTTTCATCGTTTTTGACATTTGAATTATTCTTTTAATGATAAAATTCAATATACTTTTAGACAGACAATAAGTGCACTACTGTATATCATACTTCAAATAAGTCATACACTACAAGCAATTCTGATTGGGATACTAATACTCAATCTGCAGTAAAACCATTTAGGTTTTTTTTATTAATTATTAGTATTTATTATTATGATTGATGGTATATTTGAACAATGAAGTAAATGTTGTTTGATTAGATTTTGGGCATGGGAGTGGGAGAGAATATTTAAGTTTTACTCCAACACCCTGTGTTATGATCAGTGCCATAAGCTAAAACGCTTTACTTTAGTTTGTTGGCTTTTTGTGTTTCTCTGATAATCTGTCATTTAATAGCGACTGTAATTGAAATCTCTCATAAAAGAGTAGCACTAGTAATTGGAATAAAATTACATTATGCCATTAGTTTTTTTTACTCAGTCTATATTATTTTCTCTAAAAAAAACTTTTTATCGGCTGTCCAATATGAATATCCGTTAGGATAAACTTTATAGTTGATTGGTTTTGATTTTTTATTTATTTGAGATTAAAAAAAAACTAATTTAATATTTGATATCATGTATTATTTGACATAGTAATTAATACTAGGTATAAAACTTGCAGATACTAATTTTTTTTTATTCGAGTCGAAAGGAATATATATGTGATATCAGATTAAGTTGTTTTTGTTTTCAAGAAGATTGATAATTATACAGAGATGATTTTGAAGTAAATGTTACATGAAAAACAAGAAGAATGAAGAAAAGGATTTTAAAGGTAAAAAAATAACCTTGATGATAACCTTAAAAGACAAAGTACGTGAAAACTACATTTGATTTTTTTCGTTCTTGTCGCTTATTCATATAATCTAAAAGCATGTTACTTATCACAACGACTGGTTTTGTTGTGATTTGGAGTTTTTTCTTGTTCAGTTTGTATGTATATGGAAAATAAAATCGAGTTACTCGTATTCCCAACATCGTTCAATTTTAACTCCGCCATTTGATCTATTGTTTGGTCATTACAGGAAATTATGGTCAGTAAAAAATCTATCTCGACAATATCAATATGATTCAATATATGATTTATATGCAGGAATTCGTCCTGTTTATATTGTATCTAATGTTGACTTTCTTCATGAAATATTTGTTAAACAATTTTCTTTTTTTTTTCATTCTTGTCGTCTTCCATTTATAATACATTTATCAAATGAAAATTTTATACATATTTTTTCAGCTATTGACGATCGTTGACGTCGTCAAAGACATTATTAATTCAACATTTACTAATGCTAAAATTAAATTAATGTTACCATTAATTAAAGACTCTGTTGAAAGATCTATGGAAAATATTAAAAATTAACACGATAAAACAATTTGATATTTATTAATATTTTAAACAATTAACGATGAATGTTATATGTAAGTTTAGTTCTTAATTTGTTTTTTTCACGATAAAATATTTTGGTTAAATTATTAAGGTAATTGTTTTTGAGAGTTATTGAAATTTCTACCCAATACAACGAATTCTATTTGAATTACGAAACAATGCCCGATAATAATTACATTAACTTTATATTGAACATATATACATAAAATTAATAGAAGATAATAAATAAACATGTACAAAAAATCAACATATTGGCTTTTCTGTTTATAATTTATTTTAAGATCGTTGTATATTTGGAATTGATATAGATGTTCAAACCAATATAAATAATCTATTTATTGTTAAATTAAGTTACTCATTACCATAGTTAATTCCATTTCTTAGTCTAATTGTTCGTTTAAAATTTGTGATTTTTATGGGTTGACGTTCTATGTCATCTCGTCTTATGAATCGTTTCGAAGAACTTTCTGGATTTTAGATAATCAATTAAGTTCAATATGTTGTTAAACAAAGAATTGAAACAAATCAATCATTAAAAAGAATTGATTTACTTCAATTAATGTTTGATGCTGCTTCATAAGATCCAGTTTATGTAAATTTCCCCTTAATTTCTATATCTATATAAATAATAACATTTTTTTTCGTAAGAATCATATTGATGAATCTCTTATATCAAAGAAACTTCATTATAGTGAAGTAACTAGTAATGTTTTTCTCTTTATGATTGCTGGATTTGAAACAACATTCGCATATCCTGTTTATGTATTAGCTAAAAAAAAGTGATATTCATAGAAAACTTCAAAAAGAAATCGATGATCTATTAAGTCATAACGATAAAGAATTTGATTATGATCTTCTGATTAATATGGATTATTTGAAATTTTTTATTCGTGAAGTTTTACGAATGTATCCAATTGATATTCACTCTATGTTAAGACAATGCAATCAAGATACAACTTTATGTGTTTTACAATATTCAAAAAGATTTGTCAAATTTTTCATTGATGTTTTGAAATTCGATTAAATTTTCAGAGAAAATGGTTTTTGTTGATTATTTGACTAAATCTAGGTGATGTTATTCAACGGAATGTTTATTCATTACATTATAATCGAGAATTATGGGATCTTGAAGATTCTCAAGAATTTATTCCACAACGACATTATACTCGTTGACATCCGATGGCTTATATGCCATTTAGTCACGGTGCAAAGAATTGTGTTTGAATGCGTTTATGCTCTAGTTGAAATTAAATTATGTTTGGCACATCTTCTTAGTCAATATATAATTTAATTTGATGATAAAACTGATAATAATTTTATTATTCGAGAAACATTAGTCATTCAGCCGGATGCTGTCTATATAAAATTGAATCCATGTCAATGGAAATTTTTTCTTAATTTTGATTCATTATTACCTATAATAAAATAATTCATAGAGAAATCGACAAATCTATTTGTTGTCATATTCATTTGTATATTTTAATAAATAAATTATGTTTCAAAAAGTTTTTCTATTACATAATTTATTTTAATCTTTTAATCATGATATATTTCTTATAAAAATTTGTTCGACTTCAACATTTTCATGATACAAATCTTTTGTTTTCTTTTTCAAAGATTTCATTGCAATGAACTCGAATCTTATCAATTACATTTTATTATCTTATGTAACAATTTAATACATTCAATTTTTTATTCTCTTAGTCTTATCAAGATGCTAAAATTTCATTGAATTTTAACAAGAATTATTTACATTGAAGGGTATGTGTGTGCGCGAGAATGTAGATAGAAATCACACTTACACCCACATCCATACCAACACCTTATGTCATTCTGCATTTAAGACTAATAAACATTCTTCATCAATCAATGTTGATATTCGCTGTATTTGCTCAAAGGTATGTTATCAGATGTAGTGTGTTATCTCAAGTGCATAACTCAAGATAAGCAACTCAAAATTGAAGATGAAATATATGGCTAGAGAAACAGACACTTTCATTGGTTGGGTCTCGTTGAATTGTCTTTCGACATTGATACTTTTACGAATCCTCTATTATCGACGACAACTATTATTCAGAATGCATGTGTCTACGGTAACTGACAGCAAAGAGACAGAATCCAATCGAGCAGATGAGTCTTCTGAGCTGTTGACTTATCGTTTAGCCAATATCTCAGATTGTGAATCAATTTCGATATTAGTCAATGGGGCCTATCGTGGAGAATCATCGCGTCAAGGTTGGACTTCCGAATATGAATTTGTTGGAGGCCAAAGAATCGACCCGGATACGTTAATACAAATGATTACCAGTGATGGCTCAGTCATTTTGCTATTTTTCGATCGAGATACAAAAGTTTTAATCGGTTGTGTCATGTTGCAAGATACCACAAAGGCTACGAATACCCATCTTGGTTGTTGTATACCTTTGCATCAGAATACAGAAGTCAAAAAAGTTTTACTAAGTATGTTAACTGTGCGTCCAGATCTACAAACACGTGGCTATGGAAAATTCATTATATCAGTGGCTGAAAATTTTGCTCGTCATCATTGGCATGCACAATTAATTGAAATGAGCGTCCTTGCTCGTCGAACTGAATTAATTGCCTATTACATTCGTCGTGGTTATAATGATACAGGTCGACGTCAACCATATTCTATGAATGACGTTCGATTTGGTATTCCAAAGAAAAATGATTTAGAAATTTGTATTTTAGCAAAGTCGCTTTAAACCTTAATAAATCAATATGTAAAAATATTCATTTAGGATCAGAAGAAATTTAATTAGAATAACAAACATTTTGTTCCACTAGGAAAGGCTAAAGATCATATTTTTCTAATGTTTACAAATACTTTCTTCTTATTTCAATCCAACACTAGAATCAATTATTTACTTTTCTTTTTAAATGATAGTCTAATATAATTGATCTATGAGAACTCGATCCTTCTGCTCAAGCATATGATGTCTTCCAAGAGTATCTCCTACAAGTCAATTAAGTAGTTACCAGTGCAAGAAACATTCCAAATACAAGAGGGTATGGATGTGGGCTACAAGAAGTTCCACACTCACACTCACACCCTGATGATGCAACGATTTTGCCGACATCAGAGCAAGAGACAGGTGTCTTTTGAACGAAGCCAGAAGAAAATCATAACCACGATAATATGATATAAATACCAGCTCATAATCTATACGGGCTTCGTAAAAAAAGATATGAGCAATGGCAACACTTTTATTAGTTTTTGTATTAGTTAATGAAATAGCAGTTGGTCTCCCTCGTTTAGGCATAATCTTTTTAACCTTCTTGTCAATACTTGGTGCTGGATTCAAATTAACAAATGGTTGTATAAGCAAAACAAAATAAGATGTAAAATAGAAAACAGAGTCAATTTCGATTGCACAATTATGATGACCAACTAACTGAGCAAATATGACGAGTATTAATGGAAAGTCGAAGAAAAAAGGAAGTGAAGAAATCGACAAAAGTTGAAGAATTAATTTTCGATATTTTTTTCATTCGAGTCGATGATCATCTGTTGGTTTCTGCTGGATAACACGACATAATTAAATTAAATCGAATAAATCAGTTATAAGTATTGGAATGGCGCCATTGAGAGGGGAATATCCCACATGACAAGAAATAGATCAGTTTGATAACAAGGATTTTCATTCTATAATTCTAATCTATCACTGAATCTGTTTTTGACAATGGGGAAAATAAGATAACTATAATATAAAAGACAGGTATGTAGGTCAATATAGCAACTAGAGGAAGATAATAGCTAGAAATGTACATATATTGTAACAACTAAAATCGATTATCCACATCATTAAACAAAGGCTAAGTAAAGATGATCGCATAAGAGAAATACAAAACAGTTCAAATTTAATGATATGTTAAGAAATTGATAGACAAGAGTGAAAACAAGATGGTCATCACATGATTGTTTAAAGCGAATCGTAGTGTTCGATCAAAAAAAACAAAAAGATTAGAGCAAGAAGAGATCACACAGTAATGATGGTATTTCAATGATTAACATTATTCAAATATAAACTACTCGCGAAACTACTGTGATGAATACTTGACTTTTATGGACTTCATTTGTTGTGTTTAACATTATTGTAAAGTAAGAAAAAGTACGGAATATATTGTTGTACTAGTTTCCATCTAATGAAATCATAAAACAACGCATATTCAACAGGGCTACTGCTTTTTTTCTTATTTGAAATGTCTGGTTATACAACGTCTAATATATAAATAGATTTCTTTGAATAATCAATGCAGATTACAAAGTTCAAGTGAAATCATATGAAAACGATGTAACTTCGCTGGATTTTTCTTTTACTATTTATACCATATCACTTCTTTTGTCCTTATAAACATGGTACATTTTAATTCACGTAGTGCTACTCGAAGTTCTGATACTGTTGCTGACAGTTTTACAAACCTGTTTATAGTCAAAAATTTGTTACATGAATACATAGAAGAATGTTTTGTCTATAATCATATATATATAAGAAATCGTTTTTGGGTTTAACTCTGATACACTGTCAGATATAAACCAGATCCTACTAAGAAAAATTTTAAAAAAACTGGATAATGAAAGTAAGAAAAGTTACATCATGTTAGGTATGTCATCGTCTCAATGATGAGCAATAGTAAGAACGAACTCTAATTTATCGTGAAATTTCATGATGACATAAGCTGAATTAGTAAAGGTGAATTCATCAATGAGTATTGTTCGCTGATGTAGATTTGAAAAACTTTGTCTTGCATATTCTTTTCAATCATATGATCCTGTTTTTATGCATAGTGTAGATAAAACTAAGACTATAGACTACAACTATAGTATTGAAACTTGTCTCAAGCCTTTTCTCAATGAAATAAAGAAACAAAGAAAGTCATCAAGTGCAAAAACTATAAAATTACTTCATAATAATGCTTGACTTGATACCTATTCAAATATTATTAATTATTGGTCACAAGAAAGTATTTAATATAATGTCACATCTTCCGTGTTCACTAGCTCTTATTTCATATGACTTTTATCTAAATGATTATATCCAATGTAATTTAATTGATCAAACAAATGAAAAATCATTGGCTAGTACGGTTTCTAAGATAGTTAAAATTATTATAAAGGAAAAACTTAGAAAAAAAAACGTTTAACCTATTATTAGAAAGCATAAATTCTTTCTTTGATTGTAACAAGTCAACACAATATTAATAGTAAAAAGAATTTTTTGTTTTTTATTTTTTTTAATAACAATTTTTATTATGAATAGATAAATAAATAAAGATAAGATAAGCAAACGAGAAAAAAAAACCAAAAGAGAAAACAAACGCGAAACAAAGGGTGTGGGTGTGGGTGGTGTAGGTATGGGTTTGGCTGTGAGTAGATAATTACCACCCACACCCCACATCCACACCCTATGGCATACTTTACTTTAAAAATAAACGTACTTGATGATTACAAAAGAGGCACAAACACCGGTCATTCATGGAACACCCATTAGCTTTGAAAGTTGGGAATTTTAATGTGTTGGAGAATCTTCGTTTAATATTTTTTCCTTAACTTATTACATAAATGAGTTTGATTATGGTTTTGTAGAGAATTTGACAGCACATCTTTCGGAAAAAGAATCAGGTCTAGAAATCAAAAAGATAAAAAGTTATAGTCAAAATACTGAGAGGTCCATTTCACCTGGCGCACCCGTTATTTCGATAAACGTATATATTTTCAGGTATATAAGATGCACATGAGATTAAATAAATTGTTGAACGGGTACAATCGAGCGTACGAACTTCAAATGATGCTTTAAGTCATTGTCGCACACACGGTGATCAGACAAGTTCAGGTTGAAATTGTACTTCCTTTTTAATCTTACTCATTTCACGAATATTATATTCCATCGCCGTTTGACCTTCAATAGACAAAAATGAACGATTGGCTTGCGTCCAACTTCTGGAACTTTTATTGCTGGAAAATGTTCTTGATCGTGAATGTGTAGCAAGTATAGTTGGCTTGTCCATTTCGTTTCAATTCTTTTTCAGTAACAAATACTATTATGACTAAGATAAGAAAAAAATCCCCAGTAATTAACCAATATATTCCTGTACAACAATCAGTAATCTAAACAAAAAAAACTGTACATAACCCAATGAAAGCAAGACACGATGATTAAAAAGCCTTGAACATCTTCCCAAAAAAATCAAGTAACATCCATGAACCTACTACTTGCTAAACACACACCGATCTGTATACGAGAGCCATCATCTGGCATTCATCTTAATATGCCGTCGTCTATACACAGGCAGCCGAGTAAAAACAAGGCAATTCCTTATGAACATGATAATCTGCTATAAACAAAACAGAATAGTCCGTCGAACATGACAAAGATATGCGTATACAATCACAGACAACATATACTATCGGCATATATACAAATACCATAACTATAAAGAAAAAGGAAATTTCCAAGTAATTACCGAAATTTCCTGAAATTTCTTTTGATATATATTGGTATTTAGAGAACTTTCTGGGCATTTTCTCTTGACATGCTTGTGTGTCTTGAAATGGTGTCAGAGAAATTTTGTTATTTTCGGAAATTTCCTTTTTCGGAAATCTGAACATACCTCGTCCTCTGTTCGTCAAAGAGTCACTTAACAGAAGAGTAGCGAAAATCAACTTCACAACGATGGTGGGAAACTTTTTGCTCTCTCTTGTGTCTAGAATCTAGGAATGTCTTGGGAGGGTAGTATGAAGCAACTGGGTATGAGTCCAGGTCAGAGATGTCCATCGCGGCGCTGCCGCTGCCGCTGCCGCGCCGCTGCCGCGGTGGCGGTGGCGGCGCGGCAGCGGCAGGTTTTTAAAAAAAATCACCGCGGCAGCGGCAGATTTTTTTTAAAGTCATCGCGGCAGCGGCACGGTAGCGGTAGGTTTTTTAAAAAACCATCGCGGCAGCGGCAGGATTTTTTTGGAGGACATTGAAAAACTGTATGAATTTAATAGAATTTCACGATTTACAAATGAAACGCCCTGATATTGAATAAATCTGATGGACTAGTACCCATATCGCTGGTCAAATATAGTCACAGCAGTGAAATTAGAAACACTTTTTTGAAAATCGTCGCGGCAGCGGCGCGGTGGCGGCACGTTTATTTTATAATTCATCGCGGCAGCGTTTCTTTTATAAGTCATCGCGGTGCGGCAGCGTCGCGGCAACATTTTTTTATAAACCGTCGCGGCGCGGCAGCGGTGCGGCAGCTTTTTTTTTCTAAGGCCGCGGCGCGGCAGCGGCAGATTTTCAGCCGCGATGGACATCTCTGGTCCAGGTGCCACGATGGCAAAAGTGATCGAGTGAGAGACAGCGGATGAAGACCCACGAATGTATTGAATGATCAATGAGAGAAAAAAAAGAAGAGAAGAGAGAGAATGATCAATGACAAGAAGCGGCGAGTCTGTGAACCAGAAGAGGGATGAATGAACTAATGGATACTGTAACCAATAGGAACAAATACAGCACGAAACGCCTAGAGCAGTAAAACGAATCAAAGAAAACCGAACGCGTTCGTCGACACGAGAAGAAAAATAGAAAAGTCAAGCAATGAAGCATAAGACAGAGAATAAGCAAGAACATGACGATGGCCAATGCCGTCACAGAGGCTGAGTCCCCTCTAGTATGATTTTCTAGCTATGCCACTAATCTCAGGTCGAATAATTGATTGT